GAAGGCGGAAGCGACGTTTTGACGGTTTCATCCCTCGACATTTACGAATTGATTATTTCTTCGGATCGAAAAATCGAAATAATTCCCCGAATATTAAAAATTAATCAACAATTAGAAATCATTATTCATAAAAAATTAAAGAAAACAAATTTTCTTATTCTCGATTTTTTCTCGATTTTCGTTTTGGCCCCATATCTCGAAACAGACCAAAGCCAGTGATATTTTCATAATCACCTTTCTTGTAGCCCTCATCTCTCCCTACAAAAAATGCCTTATAAAAAAAATCGATATCTTCCGTTAATTCCGAGTTATTACAAAAAAACGCTCTAATCGAAATTGACGACTTGGGTATTAAATTTCCACATTGCAGCGGAGACTCGCCCTCTTAACAACTTCCGGTCATTTATTAGCACGAGCTTCATCAGGGATTCCCCCAGTGCCGAATTTCGATGACGAGGCATTGTCCATAAAATATTAAGAGCACGTCGTAAAAAAATGAAAAAAAAAAAAAAACCACACAAAGGCCTTGGAGTTTTCATCGACCCCGAAGTAATCCCTCAAGTCCAGCAGTTTTGTAACTCGGAGGCTAGTGGTTGGAATCTCAAACTCCTCCTGGACAACTCCAACCCTCGAAAGGATCGACTTGAGAGAGGCTTATGGGGTACACTCCAACCCTCCTCTGTTGCTCCAGCAGCAGTCGATAATATCTCCGAACCGCTTCCTGGCAATTTGCGGTCCTTTTGTCTCAAGGATCGCCGGGTTCATGGGATAAAAGACGATGGATATACCTATGGACCTCTCTATTTTCACGAGCCCTGAAAATCTCAGTTCCCATTGTCTTCCATCAAAGGGATTCGCCCATTTTCCACCGGAGTATCCACCATTTTACCGAATATTAATCATCATTTGAGTAGCTCTCGTAATCACTCGGGATATTCACTTTGGTTTCGAGATTTAAAACTCATTGAGTGGAGAATATTCTTCATGAATATGTAAACAGAATGAATAATGATTTTTGAATCGCGCGGGTCGCATCGATTTTCCGTCACAGAGTTCTATTTTTTACGAGTGATACGAGCTGAAATGTCGGAGAGATGCATATGTTTTTTTTTTATTTCTTCTCTTTAATTATAATTATATATATAATTACATCATCGTTATCATTAATATTATTTCAAAGCCCTCGAGTATTCCTGAATATTTTCCTCCACGTGCCGAGCAAATCTTCTTTATTAAAATTAATTTTTCTCTGTCAGTGCATCAGTTTTAATTCACCATCTCCCCAAATGAATCCTCCTGCAAACATAATGATGCAAATCCCTCTGGAATCAATTAAATCAGATAAATCAGTAAATACAAATGAAGAAAAACGAAGTGGTCATTGCCAGGAGTAAGAAGCATCCTAAATCACTGGAGTCGCTCGTAAATACATCAGAGTCCAGAAGGATACGGATACCCTTGGCAACCATCTAGGGTTTATTTGCCCCGAATCTTGACAGAGAGCTATCGTTTTATTTTCGGTCGATACTCGGATTACTCAACACTCGAGGATTTGACGGAAAATTGTTACGAAATCATGTTTCACATTTGTAAGAAATCGCAAATAATTATTCGAAATTCTTCCCCTCAGAAATTCATTTATTTATTTAATTAATTCATTGATTTATTCGTTTTTTCATTTTCACGAGATTACAGCTTTTGCTAATTGTTCATTCATTTAACGGCATGTAAAATCTGTTAAATGTTGAATTGTATCCTAATTGAAAAAGGAGAAAGGAAATCGAAATATCTCGAAATATCTCGAAATATCTCGAAATATCTCGAAATATCTCGATTGACCGTCCGGGTAATCCCGTTCGGGTAATTTAGAGAATTCAAAAAATGCCATAAATTCAAAAAATGGCGAAAATTCGGGAATCATTGCAGAGGTTCCAAATTATTCAACGAATTTTCCGTGGGTGATGAGGGGCGGAAAAAAGCGGATTCGAACGAATGCGCATGCGCATTACATGCGAATGATCCCGTGTGTAATGAAAAAGGAGAGGAGATATTCGGCGAATTAGAAAAAAAAAAATAAAAACGGTTTAATTACCCTCTAGGTTTTCCAATCGATTCAATTTATCGAGCATTCAGCGCAAATAATCACAAAGCCGAAATTAATAACGAATTTATTGACTTCAACACACTCTCATTTCGCTCACGTCAGGGCTGAGATATTTCCCCAATTTTTTCCTCATCAAGAGACTTAAGTGACAATCAAAACAATTTTTTATTAACCAAAAAAAAATCCGTATCATTTTTATTCGCTGATACTCGCAGTGAATTGTCGATAAAATTTCGAAAAACAATATGAAGATTGAGAAATAATAAATCCGTCCTATCACCCGAAAGCAATAAAAATAATTTCATTTATAAAATCATTTATTTATTCTGCAATCTTATTTTTTACTTAATCAAGCACTCCATCTCCATTTCCAAGTACACGATCTAACAGAAACAAAAAATGATACAAAAAATGAGAAAAATTCGAATGAAAAATAATATCGGAGTCTCGGGTGTTTCCCCATTTGACGGAGGCACATCCCAATTTAATCTACCCAGAGCAATTTCTTAACCTCATCCACACCAAGTTTATCTCCAAGAAGATGAGACTTGGCTGAAATGCGTGGCTGAGGACGTCAGTTATGCCAGCAATTTGCATTAGTAGGTGTACGATACATATATACACACATATATAACAGACTGATGTGCTGAAATACAAAAATAATCTGCCCACACTTGTGTACACGTCTGCGTTAATCTCGGTTTCTTTCTTCAGGATAAATGCGTGGGTAGGTGTTGCTTTTTCAATTGTACTGGATGCCAACTGCGATTCAAATGTGTCACTCTAGAGCCCAGCGTGAGACCTGTCGATACGAAAGTGAATAAAAAATTGGTATGAGCTGTCGAAGAGACCCAATGACGACAAACCAAAGCGGAAACAACACATCACCCCCCAAAAGAATTCACCAATAAAGTATTCAAACGAATCATCAGGACCTCCAACATCTCCGGGACAAACAATCTGAAATAATCTGAAATAATCTGAAATAATCTGAAATAATTTGAAATAATCTGAAATAATCTGAAATAATCTGAAATAATCTCCCGAATCCATAATCAATTGGCAAAAAAAAAGTCAATTCAAATGCCATCGATGTAACTCATCGTCTCTCTTTGTTTGAGACCCTATCCACCCTCCCATCGCATTGAAACATCTCAGCACGTGATCTTTTTACCGAATGTGACTTACCAAGTGGTTGGCAAGATAACCTTGCTACCAGTCTTCGATAGAAATCACATCTGAGAAACCGATAAAACTCCGATTCCAAGAAAGCATTCACTGATCAATTTGATGGTCAAGAATCCATCGGTGGACAATTCCATTCAATGGGTTGAGGTGGAATACGATTGAAGGCCTTCCGAGAAGACCAAACTCGTCAACTTCACTGTCATGTCCGGTCTGATGCACCAGGGGGTGGCAGGGGGGGGGGGGTCTTCTTCATTCAAGCGTTCTTACTTGGCGGTTGGCTGTTCATCGGGAAATTGATATTCCATGCGTGTACAAGTCCAGTTTCACGGCCATCTCTGGGATGCATGGGGTCCCAGGGGAAGGGCCTCAGCCCCCCCCCCTCCCCCTCTACCCACTGGGATTTTTACGCTGGAGGGGGGCACGTTGATCGGAGTCAAGACACATTTCGCGGGATTCATCCTCTCCGGAGATTCACCATCGACTCACTCATCTCGACTTAAAAGGCCCCGAACTCATCAGCTCAGGAATCATCTCGCTCAATTCTGAGGATGTACCAATTTTTATTTTTCAATTATCGTATCTCGAGATCTTTCGTGTTATCGAAATAATTCATGATGAGTAGTTCTCGGTGATGAGGAATCATCGAAATCCCTAGGATTTGCGGAAAATTATAACTCAGAGATGATGATTTATGATCTCGGGGAAGATATTCTAAAAATCATTCAAGAAATCATGCGACATTTTTGGGCTCTGGGGCAACTTGATCTTTCCCTTATCTTTTTGAAACAGAACTTGTTATAAATAATATGAGCGTAAATATGACGTTCTTTGCATGTTATCGCGTCATACATTGATGTGTTATCTGAGTTCGAGTGGGTGATAGGATGTTTTGACAATTAGATTTCCATTGTCGGGGAATCTTCCATGTATTCCGATGATTCACTGAACTGAATGATCTTGATAAACGCAATCATGCAATTTGTGATAGCGAACGCGTGGGACATTTTTTTTTGTCAACCGAGTTAGTTGATTAAATTGAGTCGTGGAAATGAACTGAAATATTCGGTTTCTATGGAGACGAAGAACAATGATGATTAATTAATAATGATTAATACACCTGAGGAAAAATTGCGCGTCTAGATTATGCGGGGGGGGGTGATAAAAATGGACGATTTGAAGAGCACTAGAACGATTAATTGTGGAAAATTATAATGAACAGCTCATGTCTCAGTCACTAGACGCCATCCAATTATCAAAGATCCCGATAAACAACGTTATCAATTATTAATCGTACCCTCACCCCAATCCTCCAATTATCCCCAGCGATCTATATCTCGGTACAGGGCATAAGTCGTGTTAAGCCATCAATCGATCGATCAGCGTAAAAAATAATGGAGATATGTCTCCAAGATGCGGCATCGGGTTAATTATAACAAATGTTCCTCAGCTCGTTCGTTGCGTCAATGATTATCAGAGCGTATCCAATCCCATGAGTCACTGACTGTCTCTTCTCCACTTAATCCCCTTTTTTTTTCTCATTTACAAAGTCGCTGGAGCAATTTTTTTCTCCGACGATCTGTCCCTCACGTTTGCCTCTCCTTCTCTTATCTATCCTTCGGTCGTTTTTTTTTTATTTCCTCCACTTTTTTACTGCCCTCTGCTCCCGCGTTCAACGGTATGTGTTATCATTCTTCGATGAACCAAAGTCCGAACTCTCTGGTGTGATGAGACGAGTTGAAAGAATTCTGTGGTGTGATGACACGATGTGAGCAATTATCTCATGGGAGTCTGTCGTGTGAGAGTGGAACTTCAGATCAGGGGCTAGGAGGGAACTCACCAGTGAAATCTCATCATGATCTGTTTTCAATCTGTTTTAACGATCGTGTCGATCCATCACTGATCGAATCGTCAGGATCAACAGTTTATTTAAGTTGAATCCTGAAATGGAATGACTATAAAAGTGATCAGGCTGATTTTCCATGTTCTGACTGATCAGGAATAGAATCGTAACTAAATCATACCGAGTTCAGAGTCATATCCTTTTTTAAAAAAAAAAAGACTAAATCCATATCCTAAATCCATAAAAAGTGACTAAATCCATATCCTAATCCCAAAAAACAAGATTTTTATTTATATCTTTACTAAATCCATATCCGAATCCCAGAAAACAAGATTTTTATTTTCAGGAAAAATCAGTTGCCCGAGTGATACGTCAAGTCAGGTGGTCAGAAGAATCTGACCAGTAAAACCTGATCCTGATCTGTTTAGAATCTGTGTTGTAACGCTCGTTGGGACCGATCACTGATGAACTCTTCCAAATCATTACCTGATCTCAGTTAAATCCTAAGCTGAGGAAAAATTCTTCACCATTCGAGGAATCGATCGAACAGCTCCCACTCTGTACTCATTGGCGCATTAAAGAAGTACCAAAATGACGGACTGCAAAAAAAACGGGGAAAAAAGTGCCGAGAAATTAGACGCTCGGCTAATCGTGCAGCTCGAGTGAATCCGTAAAATCTCCCGCCGCGATTACGAGGTGAGTTTCGCGGAATCAATTACCCGCATTGTACTCGTACTACCCGGTAAAAATGCCATGTAAAAATGAATAGCGAAAAACGGTGCCGGTTGAATATTGATTTATGAGTGAAAATACAGCAAGCGAAAATTTATTCAACCCAACATCCGCGACACAATCACCCAATTCAGCGAATGATTCATTGAAAATTTCCAGGAATTATCGAGGGATTCCACGTAAGTGGAGGAAACGGTTGTCTTTTTTGCGTTGATGTAAGTGCGGTTGCTCAAAGAAACTCAAAGAGTGGGTGTTGTGGTACGTTGGCGTTGCCTGGACTATGAACTAAAATGAATGAACGAAAATGATGATTTCCAACGCCCACGTCAGCGTGACGAATCATTTTTTTTTCTCTTTCCAATCCGGATTAGCGAAGACATTTTTTTTTCTCTAGTTTGGACTGCAAAATCCTTACAGAAAATATTAACGAGATCTGAAATTAAATTTACATTCTGATTCATTTACGCATTACTTCTGATTCAATAGCGAGATCAGCACTAATTACGAGATTACATTAACATAATTCCTCTTAATTCCTCAGAAATTGATCGATAAATTAATCAATTAATGACTTAAAGCTGTCAACTTGTCAAAATATTAAATGAAAAGGGCATGAATTATTTGTCTTTCGTATATTTATGTGAATAATGGATTACATAATCCGTCGAAATTGGTAGCAGTCAGAGAAATAACCACTGCAACTCAGTAAATTTACATGGCAGAAGTATTTTGTTGAAATAAAATGGGTCAAATCCATGAGCTGTCAAAACAGAGAACTAGAATATATAGAGTATTTTGGTGGTGGATGATGGGTTTTGAAAAAATGGAGGGAATTCCGCTCCCACGCGGGTGAATATATGGTGAGGCTGAACATGGCAACGAGCCAGAACAACACCACAACTTCTTCAGCACCTCGCATTTCTTCGCCTTCTTCTGCCATCTCTTAGTCACCATCTCTATTTTATTTCCCTCTTCACCGAGTGTACACGGATAATCTCGAAATACCTCACGGCAATGCGCTCGTCCTTGCTACAAAACATGCCACAGCTTCTTGGAAAGAGGTTATGTATTCCGGTGTAATGCCTCACTTCCATTTTTCATTTTTTCCTTTTCCTCTCTCCGCTTTCCTCTTTTTTCCTTTCGGTTTTGGGTCGCGGAAGAGCTTCCACTGTTTTATGATAACCTGTGATCAATCGAGTTGATGAAGATGTTGATGCGCAACATGGCGTCATCGATCGACGCAAAAGGCTGAGACCTATTTATTTATTTATTTATATTCATTTTTTATGTACAGAAATGCAATTTTTGGGGGAAAATGCTAAGACTATTTGCACATTTTTTTTTTCATCAGGACTCAGAGGTTTTTCCTGTAGATCAGACTGTACGTAAAATTTCTCGAATATTTTAGTCATCTCGATTGGGAGATTATCTCACTCGTGCGAGAAGAGTCGAGGCCGGTTAGGCAACAGGGAATTTGAAAAGTTATCGTCAATTGTACTCTTTCAACGAAGTAATCGTTTAGATTTGTGAGTAAATGATGACCTGAGTTATGAACTTTCTCGGTTGAGACTCACCGTTAAATCTTCGTCAAATTCCGCCTCGAGCAATGAATTTTTCTATGACCACTTTTCAGCCACTCGCAGGTGAATTAGTCCGTTATTTCGTTTTTACGAGCGTGAGGAACTTTGTGGCTTTCCATTCGAGAATTTCTCCGGTCCTCCCGTGGGATTCGAACTAGATTATCAGGCTGTGCTTCCAACCAATTGGACCAATGCGTTCCACATTTATCGATTATTTATCGATTTCATGATTCAAGAGAGAAAAAATGATTTTTAAGAAAATGGTCATTGATACAAAATTACAGGCTCTTATCAATTTTTAAACTCGCGAAATCGCACGATAAACTATTTCCAACCGATAATTTCTGATTCATCAAAATTATACATTTTATATTCAATAATTAATAATTTATTATTAAAATGGGGGACGGCTAAGGTGCTAAATCCGGTGCAAACAGTTATATTTTGTTAATTTATTAATATCAAAACCGTTAAGGTATTACAATGTTAAAATATTAAAATGTTAAAATATGAAAATGTATTTATCGAATCTAGATGGGTTATGAGGAGTGAAAAAGGTCGGGGACGATGTAAAACAGAGAAAAAACTTTTGCAACATCAAAGATGAATAAATTGAAATTGAATAATAACTTATATATATTAATAATAATAATAATAATAAATATATTATATTAATTTCAAAAGTTTCATCCTATTTACAGATTTATTTCTCCCAGTATGAGAACAACTAAAAATCTTAAAATTTCACAATTTTTAAATTTTCAAGGAAATATTTTCCTGTCTCACATGAAACTTGACGTTTTTCTCTGCCTGAGACATCGATAATACCATCAATAACGAAATAATCGGATGAAATAAATAAATTGTCGACTGCGTTCAATAAACATTTAGGGAGGAAAATATCAGAAAAATGAATTTTCGGTTGAAACGGCAGAATAAAAATGTCAGTTGAATATCGAATGTTGTAAACGTCACATTTCCTCAGTGAGATGAATGAAATGGTGGCATATCCGTAGCGATCGGCAGAATCATAAATATTCCACTGGGTTTTATGTCGCATCCCAGTTGAGGGATTAATGAAAATGCCGATTTGTACCCCAGGGCCATTTGATCACGGGATACCAATATCCAGAATTGTTGAGCCCTGATGAACAATTATCCTCGATTCAATCCCCAACTCAACAATACCTCTCCATTCACCAAATATTCATCGAAAAAATACTTTTGTTCGCATATCAGTCGCTATCAAATTGAACAATGTCTCGTCTCTTCCTTCACTAAAAATCTCAATTAATTAATTAATTTAAAAATACGTATAAATAATTGGGCGAAGCGCAGGCCAGAATTTCCAACAATTTCGATAATTTTATGGAGATTTTATTAAAATTTTAGGTAAAGCCTGCCATTGAATGCTGAATTTTATCAATCGGCTCCAACTATTTTTGAACAATCGCTCATGTTTTAATGAGTGACTTCATTATTTCCTGATGGGTTAATCATTTCTATAGAGTGAATAGTTCAATCAGTTGATGGCTCCCATCCGGTGATAATCCGATAATAATTTTAGAATCCTAAATATTAGATCAGATCAGGTCAGAGAGGCTTTTGGATGAAATAGCTAGTTTCCGTTAATTAAGAATTAAGTATTGAACGGTTAAACCAGACGAATTTTCTCCACAAAAAATATTATTAGAATCAAGAAAAATAAATAATAGAGACTGGTCAAGTTATACTATTCATTTACTCCTCGATTATTTACTGGCGATTGAATAATTTCCGGTAATTGCGAATTTATATCACTCGCCAATTTCCATCCGGTGGAAATCCGATGAAGAATTTAATCAACTTTTTAATGATTTAATCATGATCATGAGTTTCCAAGCTAATATAATCATCCGGGTTAGTAAAGATGACTGATTATTTAAGTTGAAACAACTGCCATTCATTTGCTGTAGAATCCCGAATTTCCTGTTTAACATCTTGTGCCAAAGCGACATATCGAGAACATCACAACAAACTGTTGAGTTGATAAACTCTTCAAGGAGTATAATGGCTTCGATGATAACCGACAATACATAACACAAATGGATGAAACGTGTCTCTATCGATTATTTATCAATCGAATTTGTCGTGCGACGAAGGAAAACCACTGCGTGAATAATATGAATATTTTTTCTATCACAAATAGTAAATTTCAGATTTTTTTCCTCGTAAAGATCGGATGGATATTCACCAGAGGAATCATGAACTTTCAATAACCCTGTGATCTCTACTGCAATAGTGACGAGAATAATATCCAAAGTCGCCTCCGACTCAGAAATGATATTCTAATAAAACAATTCTTGCAGAATTAGAGTTCACCCGATGATTTATGTATTTTCCCTCTATTTCTGGGAGAAGACAGTGTGGATGCCGGCCAGAAGACTTGAGTCGAGTAAAAATCGGTAATTTAAAAAAATTCTCAGTGGTCATGGTTTGCGAATTTTTAACTCTGGGAAAAGATTGTACGGAATTCTCAGAGCCAACATTTTGGCTTGTCTCCAATTCGTTTTGGGGTTCTCATCGACACATATTCAGGGTCTATTTTAATCGGGCCACTCTCGGAGCAGTCGATTTCTCATTAGCTTCAACTCACTTCTCTCAATTTCATCCCCACCATGTGATACGGATGGAGAAATGCACATATAGAAACTTGGAGGACCAAAGTTACAGCGTCCGATTTGACCTATTAATATTTTATGATATCCCTTCGGTGTTATTGATCCTCTATTCACCGTCAGGTACCGATGGTGAATGTGCAATTGAAATGGCGAATAATTCCCTCATTTTTGTTGCTATTTTCCATTAATCATTCACCACGACATCGGGAGAACAGATATTTTTTACCTAAACAACAAATTAAATTTTTCAAATTCATAATGAGACAAATCATTACTGTTATTAAGGAGATTTGGTTTTGCTATATATTTACTGATGCTGAGTAAATATATTTGTCAGCAATAAATCCATTTACCAGATATAATAATATAATATTTTTGTCAAATAAAAATTTCGTGAAGTGTAAATTGAAAACAAGTGGAAATTTAATCTACAGTCGGAAAAGTTTGTTATTTAATCAAGAAAATCTGTGAGGATTATAAATTTATTGGAATTCGGAGTTCCTCCGGTTTTTTGACGCTATTTTTTTATATCATGAATTATTTTTTTAGTAGCAGAACTTTTAATTATGCAGTTGCAGAAAGAAAACAATTTTTCCGATGAAATAAATGCGTTTTCTCTCGGATTCCAGTGAATGTGGATTCTCGGATTGAGTAAAATAAAATCGAATCGAGATCAGTTTTTTCCCCTGGATCTATGCCCGAAGGTAGTGTATGAAGTAACGAAAAAATTGGGATGAAAGTTGTAAAAACGACGGATTGCCGATTGAAAAGATGATCTCCTGAGCCCTTTTCAATTTCTGATTGACGACTAAAATAGATCTATTCCACTCTACCAGGTACTTCCATAATTCACCCTTCCATCATCGAATTGAATCTTTCATCCGTTGGGCATTTTCGCCACGACCATGCTTTGCCCCATCCCCGAGAATTTAATTCACCTGATATACTTTCAGCTCCATTAGACCAATGGAAGATTGATAATTTACTGACGAAATTCTTGTCAATTACCGAAAAAATCTCCACTCATCGGAAATCTACATGCACTCAATAAAAATTCGATTAAAATAATTTTTATTCAATTCAATCTAGCGGAAAAGTTCGAGAATTTATTTATTAAATTTATTTATTTATTTATTTATTTCTTTCTTATTTATTTCTTAAATAAAATTGACCTAAAAATATTTTTTCTTCATTTTTACATTTCATTCTCTATCGAGAAATAATCAGCATTAAAAATTGTTAACAATTATCTTAAAAATAGCCATTTCTTTGCACTATAAGACGAAGGATCTCATAATAGCTAGAACAAATAACAAAGTACGACGAAAAGAAAAAAGTCATCAAAAATCCGACGACAAAATGGCCGCTAATTAATACCAGTAATAACAG